TTGGGACCTGAAGAAAACGAAAAGGGATTATGAAATTAAATGGTCAATTTTGAAGCAGGCTAAACCGTACGCAAGTGGAACAAGAGTTTGTAAACTGTGCCTGGCAGAAAAAATGGCAATTCTAAACGCTCACAAGGGAACTCTTCTAAACAAACGATCAGAATTAGTATCAAAATGTCGGCACGAAAACAAGTTTTATGCTAGTAATGTAACGTAAATAATAGGTTTTAATTGTAATTATGTAAAGATTTATGCTAATTTTATATAGTTTAAAATAGGTATAAATAAGAACGTTTTAATACGGACAGGCAGTCTGATGATCGCCAATATAGGCGTGAAACTCGAGTAAATGAACTTAGTTTCTAATTTTTTAATGTTTTTAAATTAGTTGAATTTCACATTCCAATATATATATATATATATATATATATATATATATATATATATATATATATATATATATATATACCGGGTGTCCCAAAAAAAAGTACTCCGGTTTGATTCTTAATAACTTCTAAACAAATAAAGCTATCAAACAGAAATAACTAGCATTAAATAGAGGAAGGACTAACTTAGATTTTGATATATTACAGTTGTATTTTACTTAAAAATTCACGGAGATATTAATGTTCAAAATCGGGAGCATATTTTGGGATGTGTCTAAAATTAGCGAAAATCGGCATATCAAATATTAACTTCAGCGTTTGTTTGCTTGATGACATATCAGGCTAACTTGTATTTCAGCGAATTGTCGTTAGGGTTTGCATGTAAGGGATATGGCGTAGATTTAGACTTCTTACATGTAAGTCTTAGCTCATTGTTTCCCGAAATATGAACGTACGAAATTATGCAAGTATTTAATAGGTCTTTACAAAGTGGTCTTTCAGGTATATATATATATATATATATATATATATATATATATATATATATATATATATATATATATATATATATATATATATATATATATATATATAACGACAAAGTAGGATGCGGGACACACAAAATATTATAAAAGTGACAAAGTAAGTCATATCTCGAATACGCATGCGTACTACATGTCGTAGTTTGAAAGCAGCGTAAAGAGCCATGAACGGACTATGACAGTGTGTCCTGCTCACATTAGCAACTGTGGACAGCTGTTTCGCCCTTTTGGGGCTCGTCAGCACATTTATATGACGACAAAGTAGGATGAGGATGTGGGACACACAAAATATTTTGTCTGTGCCACATCCTCATCCTACTTTGTCGTCATATAAATATCTGGATGTGCAGCTTGTCCATTAGCTACACTGTGCTGACGAGCCCCAAAAGGGCGAAACAGCTGTCCACAGTTGCTAATGTGAGCAGGACACACTGTCATAGTCCGTTCATGGCTCTTTACGCTGCTTTCATACTACGACATGTAGTACGCATGCGTATTTGAGATATGACTTACTTTGTCACTTTTATAATATTTTGTGTGTCCCACATCCGCATCCTACTTTGTCGTCATATAAATATCTGGATGTGCAGCTTGTCCATTAGCTACACTGTGCTGACGAGCCCCAAAAGGGCGAAACAGCTGTCCACAGTTTGCTAATGTGAGCAGGACACACTGTCATAGTCCGTTCATGGCTCTTTACGCTGCTTTCAAACTACGACATGTAGTACGCATGCGTATTCGAGATATGACTTACTTTGTCACTTATATATATATATATATATATATATATATATATATATATATATATATATATATATATATATATATATATATATATATATATATATATATAATTTCTCCCTTAATTGGGACATCGCATTAAGTGTTTTCCCGCGTTTGACGTCATTATAAGAAATGTCTATTTATAGATGTAAAATCAAAAAGCACTTGTTTTATCTAAAAGCCTTAAATATATATAGAAATTTCTGGTTTCAGCAATATTAATGTTTGAAGTATTATTTAAAGAAATAGAAGTAGTGGTTTATCAGGTTGAGGACAAGTTCTGTTGACTGCTAGACTAACTATCCAAATATTCCCATATAAAACGAATCTATCAGCTCATACGACTTGAGTTGGCAGATAACTCTTAAATATCTTGCTATAGTAGAGAGCCAATCAAATTGCAGAACATACTCGGTACTTGTCTATATGATAAATAGTTATATTTTTACCTAACATTTATAATTGTTTTTAAATTAGCTAATTACAGTTTGTTGACTTCTTTAAACTATAATCCAATAAACTAATGGCCAAAATTAAATTTGCCAAAAATTCATAAACCCACGATTGTCATGTTCAATAGAAGAATACTGTACATGCTCATGCATGGAATTATAATATTACATTCAATTACATTTGCGAATTATGTCTCACTATAATATTACATTCAAATACATCACCAATGTTGATATGGAGGAAACTCGTTGATAAAAACACGAAGTTTCCCATGTTCGGGGCCTTTAACCCACATGAAAAGTTTTTTCCAGTAGCTAAACAATTGACCCATTGCGCCATGCTGCCAAACGAGATGGTAAATTTCATCAGCACCAGTCAGAATTCCATCTATCTTCAGACTACGATCGTATAGTCGAACCACGGAAGGGTCGTAACCTTTTCCTTCCCTGGACGCAATACCTGCTTGCATTTTAGCGATAAACCTGTTCGTCGCATCTGGCGGCGGACAGTGTTGTGGACCCACAGGAAGAAGGCCTGGTCCTCGCCTCGGCGTTCCGTCAAATGTGTTAATTGGAACGTGTTTATTAGGAGATAAATGATCCGTCATCATTGGTTTTTGAACATAGCTCACAACAATACTTCCATCAGATAATAGGCGATCACACACCTCCTTGTGGTTTTTCCAATCACTTTTCTGGCATTCTCTTCCACAGTATTGAGCCATAAAGCAATTGGTGCATTTCTTTAAATTCTTTTCCGTCTTTTTGCAGTAGTAGCATAACTTGGCTTCACTTTGTGCTGTTGATTGATTCCTCTCTTCTTTGTTATTCTGCAACTTATTTTTTCTGTGTTCGTTTAGTGACCCTTCTTCATTAATTCCAGGCCCGGAATTATAAGAAATGTCATTGTATTCAATAACAGACTTTTTCCGAGAAGAAGTAGCATCTATAGAAATACCACCGCACTTGTTATTACGAATTTTATTTTTCTTTACGTCAGCCCGACTGAAAAGATTGATAGTTATGCCCCAGTCATTGTTGCTTTGAATCTCGTTCTCCAATATGGATACATTTGATTTCATCATTTGTATCCCTGGCTCATCATTATCAAAAATACGGTTGCCCTTTATTACAACACCAGATATACAATTATCAACAACAATCCCACCCCACTCGTTATCATAAAGCTCACAATTTTCCACAACACATTCTTTTACTTGTGGACCAATAAGTAATCCTTGCTTATTGGCGTACATTTTACTTTTTCTTACAAGCAAACGTCCACCTTCCCGCACTTCTAGCCCCCCAGCTCCGTTACCACAAAATTCCGAATTTTTAACCTCCGCGTCACCGACAACCAGCAACCCACCTTTGGTGCATTTATGGAATTTGCAAGAATCGACTTTCAATTCCCCTTTGCAGCAAAAAGAAGTGTAAATATGGTTAGAACTTGTGAAAGAACAATGAGTGAGTTTCACGTCTGAGTCAGGTTGAAAATGACAGTGAGCAAAGCGAGAGTGGAAATTAACATTGTATGCTATAAAAACCTCACAGAAAGCTACATAAATAATATCATCAAAAATTACTGAACATTCAGCTCCACTACCTACAAGAATGCAGTTAGTAATAACGAGTGTCGTACCATCATCAGAAATAATGTCGGACTCAATAGTATGCGAGGAGACAAGGTAATCACCGGGCTCAAGAATAATAACGGATAAATCGTCAGGTGTGTCGGCTTTTGCTTTCCACAAAGCTGATGACAAATCTGAGCTATTGCGGCACACAAACACATGCATTTCCAACAAAGAATCAAATTTGCTCATAAAAGGTTTGAAATTACGGAATATATTTCTCTCGTAGTAATATGCTAACGAAGCTGCAACACAAGCACCCAGTGTGTCCTTCAATTCAACGAGGGCCAACGCCTTCCTCGCATAACCTCTCCAACATTTTGGCTGTTGGAATATGTATTCATCTGCATCTTGCAAAGCTTCTTCGTATTTCCCAAGCTTAAGATACACTGATGCCCGATTACTTAACAATCTAACATCAAAGAAAGCTGTATTCTTTGATTTTTCAATGGCGTCAGAATACATTTTCAATGCGTCGAGGTAAGACCCCTCTTTAAACAAATCATTTCCTTCCATTCGCATTTCTTCCAGCTGTTCTGAGGTGACTGAGTGGATTGGCATCTCAACGCCATCTTTACATTTATCATTCTTGCTAGTTGCTGGTGTGTTGCACGAATACTGTATGTGCCGACGAACTAACTCGGGTAGAGGTATAGTGTGAGGGAAAAGAGAACTTGCAGGAAGTTGTTGATTGCTTAAATTAAAGATATCATTGGCAAAATTAGCTACTACTTTTGCTTCATCGTGCTTTGAGTTAGCACTCAGATGAATAGCACATTCATACACTATTCTAGCCGTTTCAGGTTGGAATACCATAGCACTATGGTCATCTAGCTGCTTGACGACTTTTTGTAAATGTTTTACCAGTTCGTAACTATGTAAACAAAGTTTATGCCACTTGAAAAAACGCGACAGATTACTACTGGAAACCATCGACGGTCGTTCCTCCCTTTTACTGGTAACCCTTGAAAGAAGCTCGTCAGGAGAAGAACAATTTTGGAAAGCGTAATGTAACATGCGAATGGCATCAATTATGCTTTGGATTTTCTGTTCTTGATTGAGATTTTCCTGTATGACTTCCTGTACTAAGTGGTGGACACTCAGGTTGGATAAAAGAGTTTCCTTGAAAAGTGAAAAATCTGTTAACAGTTTCAAGACTTGTTGACGCCCCAAAGTTGTCTTCACGCATTCACCAAACTCTTCATCTTCGACGGGTGGTTCGCCAATGTTGATAATGTCTTTTTGAATCTCATTTGGATTCAAAAACGCAGATGCGTAGAGAAATGTACTAGCAGCCTTTCCATCATCAACAGTTTGTTTGATGTGCTCGAAATTAAGATGCCATGTTGTACGAACAGCTACTCTCTCAGGTGAATCATACTCTGAAACACGTGTTGCCTTCTGTCTGTTAAGAAGACGAAGGCGCTGCGAATCGTAAAGCTCCAGGTATTGAGATATTGTACAACGCAATGATTTGATATAAGCCCCGGCTTGCTCAAGAGCTAAAGGTAATCCACCAAGTTGTTGAACTAATTTCTCAGCAACTATATCTACATCTTCTTCGCTGACAACTCCAATTCTGCGGCAAAGAAATTCCTTCCCTTCTTCAATTTCAAAACATCTAAGACTCAGACAACATTTTTCATCGAATCCTCGAATATCGTTGGCTAAGGCAGTGGGTTTCCGTCTCGTGGTAATTAAAAGGTGACCGGAAACATCATGTTGCCAAGTCCCGGAGACCAACTTAACAATATTGGCCGAAAGATTCAACTGATCCATGTTATCGAGAACGATCAACCACGGGTTTTTATTCCGAGATATCATTTCCAATGTAGCCGAGAAGGTAAGCCCGAACGAATCACTTCGAGTCCCTAAACGAGTAGCAACATCGTTTACGCTGTTTTCAAACGTAGTGTCGTCTTCACCAGAAAACCAACAAACGCCTCCAGTATAGAAATCCTTCCTCTGTTGTGCAAACTCGGTAGCCAAACTTGTTTTCCCCACTCCACCCAAACCGCACACAGCTGCAATGTTTACTTCAGATTGACTGGCATCATCTAATCGCAGAAGACTTGCTAAATCCTCCAGTTCAGATACGCGACCACCAAACCATGGATTTTTCCTTGGAGCATGAAAGACATAACGGAATTCATCATTAGTAGTGGCAATTTTATCAACCTCAATCTTGATTTTCTCGACGTCTTGAACAGTGCTGACATATTGACTATGCAATGAAAGCTGCTGCAGTTTAAGTCGATCAACATTTGTTTCCGTGCGTGTTTGTCTGTCTCTTAAGTCACAAATCTCCTTATTCAACGAGGATTGAAAAGAGTTGAGACAGCATAGCAGCTTTTCCTGCAAGAAAATGTAAAATAGTATAGTAAAGATTTTCGCCTTTAGCCTACTTCGTATAAAGGCAGAAAACGCTGTGGCCTTGCTGCTAATCTTTCATGAAAAGTAATTATTACTCTGAATGTTGCCCGAAATTTTGTGCCTATTATCAAAAGCAGTTATGCTGTTCTACTACTAATATACATAAAAATATTACTGGACTGTGATTGGTTGATTTCAGTGCAGTTAATCTCAAACAGCGGTGCAAAATCTTTGAAGCTGCTAGCGTTGTATAATGTGATATAACAAAGTCAGGAAAACTTTGCCAGGTTCGCTATAAACGTAACTTAAAGCTACAATTGTCTCGAGCATTTTTATGTGTATCATTAATACGTAATAGGATGGTTTCTCGTGAAATGTGGATAAAACATGCACTCGTGAGTTTTCAAAGACCTCAAATAGCACTCGTCCTTTGGACTCGTGCTATTTTGATGCTCTTTGAAAAACTCACTGTTGCATGTTTTATCCAAATTGTACTCGAGACCATCCTACTACCTATATTAATTACTAAAACCAGTAAAGGTGCGACATTTTATATATCGTATCAAAACCAAGAAGCTTTTATCCCGATGGCTATGATATTGTTTTGTACTTGTTTTACGAACGCACATATCTCAATTATCATATGGACTAAAACATTTTAAATGGCTGTTATTTCTGAATAACTGCAGAATATACGAACTTGAAAGTAGGAACGATAAGAAAAATCACATTGTCACCTCATATACCGGGTGGGGCAAAAAAAAGTACGACTCTTTGAATTGGTATAACATCAGAACTAAAAGAGCAATGACAATAAAACACATTTATTGGCATTCAGCGATGTCTAACTTAAATTTTGATATATGCCATGCACATTTCCATGCCATATTGACAAAGATACGTGCATTTGAACAAGAGTAACATTTTTGAAACTGAGAGAATTAAGCTAAAAACGGCCTATTAAATATTAATACCTTTATATACAAAAACAACTTGTGCTAAGACGCGTTATACTCTATAGTCAGTACGTTAACGCCTGTTGTTCAAAAGCAATCATCTATTCATCAGCAAATTCATGTCCCCCGGCACAATTGCAACATCTTGCCCGTGAAATGGGACAGCTCGTTCTAGCTATAGACTCATTAGAACATACAGACTACCTATCCCACGCGTATCGGATACCTTCTAGGAACAAAACTTTTAGTAAAATCGGCGTTATAAGTTCACATCCATTGCCCAACATCGTAAAACAAAAAATAAAAAGTCTGTGAATGAAGAAATATTTCTATAACTTCGACTTCACTTCATTGAAACAATAATCGCGAACAAATCGTAACGGTTATTGAATTAGTTTAATAGGG